TGGCCCCATCGTATATGAGATCTGACAATTAAGTTTGTGAACTTGCCAGGAAAATCTTAATTTAAAATCTTGGCATGAGAAAGGTATGTATAAAAATGGTCCTGAAGGAGCTCACTGATGAATAAAAGCAAAGGAAAATTGAAATTTTCCAAGACCTTTTGGAGAGGCAAGACAATGTTTTGGGCCATATGATGACTGGTGATGAAACTTGGGTGTACCAATACGATCCTAAAACAAATTGTCAAAGTGCACAATGGAAGTCAGCCAATTCTCAAGTTCCGTCAGTCCAAACCAAGAGTTAAAACAATGTTGCTAACCTTTTTTGATATCAGAGAGATTATTCATCATGAATTTTTACCAACTGGACAAACAGTTAACCAAGTTTACTCTTTGGAAGTGCTGAAAAGACTGCGTGAAAAAGTTAGATGAAAAACACCCTGAAATTTTCCCTAACAACTCATGGCTCTTGCATCACGACAATGTACCAGCTCACACAGCACTGTCTGTGGGGGAATTTTTAGCCAGTAAACAAATAACTGTATTGAAACACCCTCCCTACTCACGTGCTCTGGCCCCCAATGACGTTTTTCTTTAACCCAAGATATGGAAAGCATTGAACGGAAGACATTTTGGTGACATTCAGGATATCAAGGGTAATACAACAACAGCTTTGATGGCCATTGCAGAGAAAGAGTTACAAAATTACTTTGAAGTGCTGACTAGGTGCTGGCATTGGTTCATAGCTTCCTCAAGGGTAGTGCTTCTAAGGTGACCATAGTGATATCAGCATTTCTAGGATGAGTTCAAAAACTTAATTATCAGACCTCTTAGGTGAGAAACTGAGGCATGGAGTTTTAGGTGATTGCCCAAGATCACATGGTTATGAAGTGACCAAGCCAAGACATTCCATTCCATATCCAAACCCAAAGCTGAGAGGTTATTTTCCTATTCTTAGTATCTTCCTTGATCATGTCTCTCCCTACATCCTCTTGGGGTTGAGTGGGCAAGGGAGAGGTGACGAAAAGTCACCGGTTCGGCCTGCACATTCTCTAAGCACCGTACTCCAATGAGGCCATATTTCCAACCAGAGATACTCAGCCAAGCCTGAGACAAGAGTTTCTTTCAGCTTTGAAGTTACTTCCCACTGCCTGTTGGTGCCACCTCCAGAGAGCTATGAATTAGTAATTGTACAAATTCCAAAATTAGCTGTTCTAGCACAAGTACATTGCTTTTAAAACATACAATAGTTTTTGCTACCTCCTTTTGATAGATCTACATTTTTAATCTCACGGTAAACTAAAAAGTGGCCTCTCTCTCAACCTTTGAGAGGCCTCACTCCCTTCCTTACTGTCTAAAAGGGGCAGGTAAGGGGGCGCCTGCAGAAAGCAACTCCGATGCCCACCACTGGCTGCCACAGGTTGAAGGAGGCCAAAAACCTGGGGACCCAGAGGCTGCATGGAGCAAAGCACATCTGTCCAGAAATTTCCTGAGCTTTGAGGTGGTTTATCAGGAAGCCACCAGGTCCAGATTGTCTAAGGCAACAGGAGGATGTGTTTCCCTGGGAACACAAATTTGGATGCGCGTTCTCTAACCCAGTGGTTCTCACGTGGGGTAATTTAGCCTCCATCCCCCAACCCCACAGGACATGTGGCAATGTCTGGAGACATTTTTGATTTTCACAACCGGAGGGTTTACTGGCATCTACTGAGTGGAGACTGGTGATGTGACTAAACATCTTACAATGCACAGGACAGCCACCAACCCCCCCCCCCAAAGAATTATTGCCCAAAATGTCAAGAGTGCCACAGCCTTTGAGGAAATGTGCTTATGCGTTTTACACCTTGGGGCTGGCCTCAGGACAGGCAGCCACGCTCTCCTAAAAAGCTTCCTATCTGGGGGAGAGGGCTGGACTACAGACCACTCCGCAGAGGGGATTTCCCTGCCATTACCTGGCCGCCCCCTCCAACTCCCTTGCTGGAGAACTCTGCCCTCAGGTAAATGTTTTCCCTACTTATTTGGGAAACTTTGAGAAAAATCCCCTTTAGCCATCTTGTAAGCAGTAAAGATGTACCATAGTATGATTTTTCCACCAAAATAAAAAGCATTAAAGCGACTAGGGGATTTTTATTATTGTAGCTCAAATAATAAATAGTGGCAGCCCCAACTCTTAAGACTTCAAGGTGGCACCTCACACAATCGGCTCTCAAAGGTGCAGGCACATGAAGTGCTCTCTCTCTCTCTCTCTCTCTCTCACACACACACACACACACACACACACACAAACACACACAAAGAGTGGGCTTAGAATCAGTGGCTCAGAACCAAGAGGGGGTAACCTAGGAATTTGGGCCTGGCCTGAGGGGCTGCCTGGAGCAGGTGGGCAGCAGCAGACCAGGCCTTCCCCTTCCTTCCCCAGTCAAGAACCACCTCAGTGTGGGGCCCCTGGGGACATTTGCATACACTGTTAGGAGAGTCTTCTTTCTGCTCCCTGGGTTTCATCTTTAATAATCAGAGAATGGGCTATTAGGGAATGTAAGTCAAGGGCTCTAGGAAAGTGAAACTGCCCTGAAGAGGGAAAGGCAGCCAGTGGCCCTAGGCAGCACCTGAAGGTACCAGGGAGGGTTCTCACGCTTCCCGCCCCTCTTGGGCTCTTGCTCAGTATGCTTTGGTGAACTTCTCTGGGCAAAGACATCAAGTACTCGTTCAAATCAGATGATGAGAATAGATCTGGGGCTGGTTAACCTCAAGGTTAGAGTCTGTTGGTGCTAATGAGGCCAAAGAAACTCAACTCCTTCATGGCCCCAGACAGGTGAGAAAGATGGAAACAAGATGAAAGAGCCACGTGCTAGAAAGAGCAAGACCCCCCTTTCTACTAAAAATAGAAAAAATAGCCAGGTGTTGTGGTGGGCACCCGTAGTCTCAGCCACCCGGGAGGCTGAGGCAAGAGGATCTCTCAAGCCCAAGAATGAGGCTGCTGTGAGCTACCCAGGGTGACAAAGACAGGCTCAGTCTGAAAAAACAAAAAAGAAAGAAAGAAAGAAAAGAAAGAAAAAAGGAAAAGGGAAACAGAAGGGAAGGAAAAGGAAAAGGAAAAGGAAACAGAGGGTGGTGCTGTCCATAACCCCTGGCCAAGAAGCTTAACTGGACCCTAAGGCTACAAACTGTCCCCTCCCTACTGGAGAAACACTTGACGATGTCCCCCACAGCAGATGGCTGTGTGTTAGAACCACCCCAGAGCTTTTGGAAAACACTCAAGCTTAGGTCCATACATCGAATATCTGAATGGGGGTCCCAAGCTGGTATTTCCTTCCTTCTTTCTGGCCTTGGGAGATTTGGTAGCTTCCTTCCAGTGAAGCAAGCTGGACTTCTGAAATGATCCTCCTGAAAAGTGTACCCAATTCTATAGTCAGCTTGACCAGGGACACACACCACAGATTCCTATGAAGTTTCTGCTCTGCTTGGTTCCTCTGGTTGCAACTCATTTCCTTAACAACTTGGCCAAAACTTCCCTATTCTTACAAATCATCTGTCAATTAGATCTCAAAGTCTTGGAAATGGGCTGATTCACCAACACCTGAAGTTTCTATTTGTCCTCATATCGGGCACAGCAAAGGATGAGGAGAACTGATCTGGTGTGAATATAACAAGTTTATTGCACTTTTAAAAAAATCTGTTTTCAATTACCTTAAGAAGCCCATTTATGTACAACATATCCTGCTGATTTCAAACAAGGTTGATCCAATAGGCACTGGTATTATGACACCAGCTATTAAAACACTGAAATACAAGTTGACATCAGCAGCTTCCCTAAATATTTGGAGTTTCCTTCCCCTCTTCTTCCCCTCCTTTGGCACCACCGCCAGTCCCCACTGCCATACTGCACCCCCATGACCTAGCAACTAAGATGTTATTTGCTTGGTTCTGACTGGTGGGTACCCATGCCATATAGGTTGATCATAAATCATTTCAATTTACTCATGAAAGCAGATTGCCCCAAGGCTATATACTGCTCTAAATATAGTTAGAGCAGTATATTTTTTAAGCTAAAAAAATTGCATTTTTGGCTGGGCTCAGTGGCTCATGCCTGTGATCCAGGAGGCCAAGGCAGGAGGATCCCTTGAGCTCAGGAGTTCAAGACTGGCCTGAGCAAGAGTGAGACCCTGTCTCTACTAAAAATAGAAAAATTAGCCAGGCATCATGGTGGGTGCCTATAGTCCCAACTACTTGGGAGACTGAGGCAGGAGGATCACTTGAACCCAGGAGTTTGAGGTTGCTGTGAGCTAAGTTGATGCCATCATACTCTATCCCAGTTGACAGAGTGAGACTCTGTCTCAAAAAAAAAAAAATGCATTTTTCTTGTACCAGACACTGTTCTAAGAACTTTACGAACATTAACTCATTTGAACCTTACAACCACCCTATGAGTGGTATCATATTCTCCCACTTTATAGATGAAGAAACTGAGGCATTGAGGTCATCCAGATCTGGGCTTCTGGACCTGTCTGACTCGGTCTATTGCTCCTAACCATAGGAAGCAGAACCATGAAATAAAGAGATAGGGTTTTTTGTTTGTTTCTGCTGCTGTAGAACTGAGATTCACAAAGTAGACTCTAGCATTCTTCTTTTCTGCCATCCCTCCCCACCAAATTTATACTTGGGGAAACAGAGGCCCAGTGAGGGAAAGAGAACTTTCCTAAAATCTTAAAGTCAGTTGGGACTAGAATGCTGCCTCCTAACCATTGCTCCCCACCCCACATCAGATTGCTTGCATCTAGCTAAACATCCTCTCATAAATCAGTTTGGGAAATGTAGGGGGTTTAGAAAAAGTCCATAAGTTCTTTTATATTCCTCCCTTCAAGGGGTGGAGGCTCATTTTCCTCTCTTTACCTGTGGGTTGGACTTATGGCCTATCTTCTTATGAAAAGAACAAAGATGGCACAAAGTCATAAAAAACTACTATAACTCCATCTCTCCACCCCATCTCTTGTTGTTCACTCTGGGGAAGGTCAGTTACCATGACACAGGGATGCTGGGGCAGCCCTGTGGAGAAACTCAGGTGGGGAGGAACTGTGGCCTCCTGCCAACAGACCCAGGTGGGCGCCATCTTGGCAGCGGATCTTCCAGCCCCAACCAAGCCTTCAGGAGATGAGAGCCCCGGCTGATAGCTTGACTGTAACCTCATGACAGGCCCTGAGCCAGAGCCACCCAGTCAAGGAGTTCCCAGATCCCACCCCTCAAAAACTGTGTGAGAGAATAGATGCTTATTGTTTGAAGTTGTTAAGTTTCAGGGTAATTTGTTTTTTGTTTTTTGTTTTTGAGACAGAGCTTCAAGCTGTCCCCCTGGGTAGTTTGCGGTGGCATCACAGCTCACAGCAACCTCCAACTCCTGGGCTCAAGCGAGTCTCCTGCCTCTGCCTCCCAAGTAGCTGGGACCACAGGGCCTGCCACAACGCCTGGCTATTTTTTGGTTGCAGCCATCATTTTTGTTTGGCGGGCCGGGCTGGATTTGAACCCACCACCTTAGGTGTATGTGGCTGGCGCCTTAGCCACTTGAGCCACAGGCGCCAAGCCGGTTTCAGGGTAATTTATTAGGCACAGATAATGTACCTAATATGGGAGGCTTTGTGTTACTTCTCCAATAGACGTAACTTCATAGAACCTTTTGAGGGGTCTTTTATCCCAAAGGAATATAACTGTTTTTCTTTCAAAAACTTTAGGCAATTCAGTGTTTTAATCCCCATGGTCCCCCTCACCCTAGACTCTCCTGCCCTCCATTGGTCCAAACTGGAGAGGTCTTTTGAACCTTTTTTCCCCTGCATGTGTTTCTATAAAGTTTATACCAAGAAATCAGCTGTATTTAAGTCCCACCAAAGTTATGACAGCAATTACAAGAGTTCCAAGCCCGATAGAGTAATCTGATGGCAGGAGCTTTGGGGGTGTGATGGTTTCTTGCCTGCAGCTGGGTAGCATCTTGGCGGGTGAGCTCTGCTCCGGTACATCAGACTGCTTGACTACAAATCCTGGCTCTACCACTTGTTAGCTGTGTGACCTTGGGAAAATTATCAAACCCTCTGTGCCTTACTTGTCTCATCTATACACTGGAGAATCTAATTATAGTGCCTGCTCTGTGGAGGCCTTGGGAAGAATAAAAAGAGGGATAGCAAAGTGCGGTGCTTAACAGCACGGACTCCAGACCAAATCGCCCAAGTTTGAGTCCTAGCTCCACCCACTTGACAAGCTGTATGACCTTGGGAAAATTACTTAAGCTCCTTGTGCCTCAGAATTCCCCATACATAAAATGGGGGGAGGGATAGTACTTTTCCTGTGACTGCTGTAAGAATTAAATGAGTCAATTCATGCTATTCCTGGTCTGCAGTAAGTAATACCCGGCAGGAATGCTGGGTTTAGTCGTGTGGGTTGTTCAATCTTTAGGGGCTCCCACCTGAGAGGTTGGGGCGGGGTTGTCCAGGCCACTTTAGCATGGGGTTGCCTACCTAGAGGTGGCGTTGTTTTCTAATTTGCCCCGGGGTGGGTATGAGCCAGCTGTCTGCGTCAAATGCTGCCTTTGCATTATCCTTAGGCTTTGGGCTGATGCTAACTGAGCAGATGGTGCCTTTATTATAACTGTTACTTGGTAGCTTTATGGAGTTCTTCTCTGCCAATGTTCCCTATATCCCCCAAGCCTTGCCAGTACCATTCAGATACTGTTAGAAACCAAACAGACAATAGTAACAATGTAAAAAGTTTGAAATCACACAGGACAATACTATGTATCAAATGTGGTCCAAGTATAGAAAAATGTGTAGGAATGATAAATGTCACATTCTGGCTAATGGGTTACCTGGGATGAAGTGGGAACAGAACTAGGAAAAGGAACCTCCAGCTCTATTCATAATTTATTTATTAAGCTTAGTGGCTATGTAAGTGTTTATTGATTTCAATCTTAAATGTATAATACTGTTAAATGAGACCCACCTTTCTGGTTAAGAATGTATTTTGCATTTTCCTCCTCATTAGTCTCTGTAAATATGAAATCAGCATATTGATTAGGACCCAGAGAATCAAGCAATCATTCACTCAATAAGTATTTACTGGCTTGGCACCCACAGCATAGTGGTTATGGCGCCAGCCACATACACTGAGGCTGGCAGGTCTGAACTCAGCCCAGGCCAGCTAAAAAAACAACAGTGTCAACTGCAACAAAAAATAGCCAGGCATTGTGGTGGGCGCCTGTAGTCCCAGCTACTTGGGAGGCTGAGGCAAGAGAATCACTTAAGCCCAAGAGTTGGAGGTTGCTGTGAGCTATGATGCCATGGCACTCTGCCAAGGGTGACATACTGAGACTCTGTCTCAATTAAAAAAAATACATAAGACAGAAAACTACAGACCAATATCCTTTATGAAGATAGATGCAAAAATTCTCAACAAAGTACTGGTAAATGGAATCCAACCGTTTGTAAAAAGGAATATACATCATGACCAAGTGAGACTTATCTCAGGAAACAAGATTGGTTCAACATATAAAAATCAATGCAATTTAGCCAGGTGTTGTGGTGGGTGCCTGTAGTCCCAGCTACTTGGGAGGTTGAGGCAAGAGAATCACTTAAGCCAGAGAGTTGGAGGTTGCCGTGAGCTGTGATGCCACTGCACTCTACCAAGGGTGACATAGTGAGACTCTGTCTCAAAAACCAAACCAAAAAACCAAACAAACAAGTATTTAATGTTGCATGATAGGATGTTCAAAGAGCTAAGAACTTCTTCTGCATACCACAACACTTAAAATAACCTGTTTGCTTATCTAACCGTGTTCCCTTCTTTCTGTGTGGGCAGGGTCTCTGTCTTATTCATATTTATGATTTCTGCTATATAATAAGTGACACTGAAATGATGATCTAAACTGAATAAAACATCAATGTAATTATTGTTGTTTTTAAAGAACTTTCAGCATATGGAGGTGAGAGAAAATATCAAATAATGCAGGTCATAAGTGCCGTAAATTATAAGCAAAATTGTATGGGAATTCATTCATATATGTATTCATCTGGCAACTATTTTTCAGGCATCTACTAGGCACTGGGGATAAGACTGTAAACAAAAGAGACACCGTCTTTGGTTTTTACATGGTCTGCTTCTCACCACTTTGATCTTTACCTAAGTGGTCTGTGCCACCAACATCCTCTGCTTGGACTGTTGCAGTAATCCCATGCTGTAATCCTAACCCATCTCCTTACTCCCAGTTTGAAACCCTATGGTAAAATCTCAACTGGGTCCAGAGAGATCCCACAAAAACCCAAGTTAGGGCCTGTTACTCTCCTGCACTGAAACCTCCAAGGGCTTCTCCTCTGTAGGAGATGACAGAAATAGCCACAATTCTTTAACTTTCCCCATCAAGCGGCAAAGTCTATTTCTCACCCCCATCAAGTCTGGGCCAGCTTTGTTCTTCAGCCAATAAATTGTGGCAAATGGAACCTCATGCTAGTTCTGAGCCTGGGCTCGCTCTTACTCTTGGACTCCCAACACTACCAAGTAAACAAGCTCAGACAAGAGCCTGCGGGGGCGGGGGGATGAGAGATCACTTGGAAGAAAACCGCCCCCAGGCAGGATCATCTCAGACTGGGCAATTATCAACCAACCTATCAGCTGCCTAAGGACACGGAGCTCCATTGGAATCAGGTGAGCCCAGCCTCTACCAGAAGAACCTTCCAGATGACCTACAGCCTCATGACCTAAGTGGACGGTTTAAACCATTGAGGTTTCTGATGGTTTGTAAGGTAGGAAAGGCCAGGGAGAGAGTCAAACTTTGTTTTACTATCTGTATCCCCAGTGATTAGAGAACTGCCTGGCACCTGGTGGGTGCTCAAGGCACATTTGTTGAATAAATTAGTAAATTCATAAATGATGTTAACATTCTAATGAGAGAAACAGGAAAAACCCAAGTCAATAAACTAATAAAATTATCACAGAATGTGAGGAATGTTACGGAGAAAATGAACTGTAGCTGAGGTTGAGAGTAAGAGTGGTAGGAGGGGCCCCTTTGGGGCTCCCCATTTTTTTTTTTTTTTTATAATAAAAGCTTAAATACTTGTGGTGGCCTCCAAGGCCCCTGTTACCTCACCAACGTCACCTCTTGCCATTCTCCCGGCCTCCCTGCTGTTCCTCAAAGCCTCCAAGCACACTCCAGCCACTGGGCTGGCTGATCCCCTTGCTTGGAACGTTCTTCATTGAATCACACTGTCACTCGCACTCTCCCTTCCTTCAGGTCTCTGCTCAGATGTCCCCATTTCATTAGGGCCTTCCTGACCCACACGCCAGCCCCCAGAATTCCTTAACCCACAACCCTGTTTTATTTTTCTTCATAGGAAAGAAATGTTGGCTTGTTCCATTTACCTTCAGAACAATATTCTCTTAGGGTAGAAATGAAGCCAGCCTATAGAAAATCCTTTAGGGGCATAGTGTCCTGTCAATCCTAAAATTAATCAAGGCAGCCATTTGGCTTTGAGACACACTGGGAATAAGGCAGAGTGAATTTTTTTTTTTTTTTTTTTTTTTTAGAAACAATCTTACTTTGTCATCCTTGGTAGAGTGCTGTAGCGTCACAGCTCACAGCAACCTCCAACTCCTGGGCTTAGGTGATTCTCCTGCTTCAGCCTCCTGAGTAGCTGGGATTATAGGTACCCACCACAATGCCTGGCTATTTTTTTTTTTTTTTGTAGAGACAGAGTCTCACTTTATCACCCTCAGTAGAGTGCTGTGGCATCACAGCTCATG